GGAGGGGAGAGGGGGGGAAACCTGGGCCTGGCGAGAGCTGCCCTGTAAGCTGGTGCCTAGGAGCAGCTGCCCTGCTCTGTGGAGCAAGGGCAGCAGGCTGCAGGCTTCTTCTAAAGGCAAGCGAGCAGCTTGTGCTGCATAGAGGCATCAACCGTTGTTTCCTTGCCCCTTCCCAGAGACAGAAACAACCACTGACATGCATGTGCCTGTGCCCTCCTGCTCCACCCCAACATGAATCACACTGACTTCTGCCTAGGGTGAGAGAAACATCAGCCAGAACCCCGCTAAGACTCACAGAGGCTTTGTGGGAGGTGTAAGGCATAGCTCACTTGCTTTTTCATGACTACAGAGGCAGCAACAACTCCAATTTTTTACTAATTGCTAACTCAGGGCTCTGCCAGAAAGGGATGTGCCATGGAAAAGAGGGGATTTGGGTCAGGGCCACCTCCCTCCTAGGGCTGCCCCATGGTGATGCTGCTCATCCACAATCCTTGGGCCCCAGGCAGCATGACCACGCTGGCTGCCACAGCTGCAGTAAGTGCTTACAGCAACATCAGCACCAGAATGTGCAGAAAGGTTGTTCACAGAATCATAGAACTGTTTGGTATGGAAGGGATCTCACAGCTCACCCATCTCCATGGCCATGGACAGGGTTGCCACTTACTGGATGGGCCCCATCCAACCTGGCTTTGAAGGCCTCCAGGGTCATTTTCTCCTGAGAGCACAGTAGGAGGGATGCGCAGGAGTTCACCTGGAGCAGGCACATGGTGATAGCTCATCGGGACTTTTTGCACTTCCAGCTGTGAAGGAAAGCTCTGAGAGGTAACACATGTTTCCTCACACCCAGAGGCAAAAGTTCACAGCAGCTGCTTCAGAGCACCTTCTATCAAGGGCGTTCATCTGACCCAGTTGTGCCTATAGCTGCTATTTTTTCACAGGCTGAACTGACTTAATTAAGTCAAAGTAGTTAACTTGCTCACAGAGGCAGGAATGGACGGGCCATTGTGATCTTGTGAAATGGAGCTTTTTATCCTTTGTCTGCTAACTGAGCCCTGTGTCAGAGAGGCATTAGGAGAAAGTGCTAGGAGACATGAATTGCCCCCATTTATTTGAAATTATTGTAATGGCTGTATTCACTTGAATGCAGTGGTAATATAGGAAAGGCTGAGATGTCAGAGTGCTGACATTTCTTTTTTCTTCATGGCTGAACCCCTTGGTGATGGATTTCATCATGGTACCACGTATAAGAAGACTGCATTAAATGCATTTTCCTTAGGAATACGAGCATTGACCGGTGTGTGGTCAGACACCTGAGCAACTGCAGAGAACGCACAACAGTTACACAACTACTTGCAAACTATTAACTGCACGTATTGGTCTGCCAAACAACAGCAATTATGTCTGCCAAACCTGAATAATGTCCCATACAAGGGGTGAGGGGAAATCTGAAACATTTCTATGACTTAATCTTAGAAAACACTACATGCTGTATATCAAGTAAGTCCAAAAAGGCTGTGAAATCTGATTTAAGATAACGTAAGGTGTGCTCACCACGTTTTGCAAGACAGTAGTTTCCAGTTTTAATCGCAGCTGCGCATCTATTCAACATTTTATCCAGCTTGCAGAATTCATCAAAAAAATTAGTGACTGAAATAAATTTTTTCTATCAAAATGACAATTCAAATAATGACAAAAATCATTGTGTTGTTTCAAATATTTCTTTCTTTTTTTGCTCCTTTCAAGCTCATTTAAGAGTTAAACCAAAATGTTTTTAGTGACAAAGTAATAAAGTGAAAGGTTTGTAAAAACAGAAGGGGAACATGTGGGCAAGGTTCCTCCTGTTAGCTGAAACTGTTCAGCCCAAACGACACCAGGTGGTGCCTCTTTTCGGAAGCTCAACATTTTTGCCCAGCTGTCATCTGAATGTTTTGAATAGTGAAGTTGGATTTTTACCACAGAGCTGAACCCAGTGACCTCGTTCCCCAAATGACACCAGCTAAACAACATTAATATGGTTCTGCAGCAGCATAAGCTGTCTGTCACTGCCTCCACTTGTCATCCATGCTGTGTGCTCACCTCAGGGAGCTGGAAGAGAGGAGAGGAGAGGAGAGGAGAGGAGAGGAGAGGAGAGGAGAGGAGAGGAGAGGAGAGGAGAGGAGAGGAGAGGAGAGGAGAGGAGAGGAGAGGAGAGGAGAGGAGAGGAGAGGAGAGGAGAGGAGAGGAGAGGAGAGGAGAGGAGAGGAATTTTCTATCAGTGTCCACGATGTTCAGACTTCACCCTTGCAACACATTTTGAGCATGTCAGTTACACAGCACAGAGAAAACCACATAATTACAGACTTGAAAATAGCGTGTGTAACTGTTCCTGATGAAAAGTGCCTTTTAGCTTTGAGAGCCTGAAAATAAGCAGGCTGTGAAAACTGGAAGCGTTTTTTTCTCACACAGCACCAATCCCCCACCCCTTGCTTTATCTTCTCCCTGATCTGATTTCACCAAGCAGCCAATGCTCAGTGCGCTCAGCCCTGATGGACTCCAGGACAAGTACAGCAAACCTGCATGGCCCATACTGTCAGCTCGTGCGTCTCAGGGAAGCCATTTTGCTTCAGCAGATTGAAAGCAAACCTTCAGTTCATCATTTTGTAATATATCATCACAAGTCTTTTGAAGCAAATACAGACAAAATGAAGTTTTCAGTTACAGTGTGAATATTTTCATCTGGCTTCTTCTGAAGCAACTACTCTCCAGAGTTTTCTGGTCCCTTAATCCCAGCATCTCACAGCAGATACCACAGCAGGGCATCCCAACCTAGCAGTCACTGTTCTTTAAACACATAAAAACAGCAACATTAACTGTCATAAACAAAGCTTATCCCACAAAGAGAAAAAAAAAAGCAATAGAACTTGCTGGCAAAAAATGTTTCACTTTAATGAAACCAGATATTAAATCAGTGGGGTGGAGACCATAATAAAAATGCCTACAGATGTAACAGACTTTAAAACTGCCAATGCAAAATTTTGCATGTGATCTTTAATGTTCAAACAGGAACAGTGGCTACTTTTAAATTAGGGGTTGCAAGAAACAACACTTTCATTGACAGCACATTACAAGAGTTGGGATATTGGAACTTACTTCTTCCAAAAGCCAAAAGATTTTTAACTGAGGAATGAAAACACCTAACATCTGTGTAACTCCATATAAGTATCAGGCAGTTCAGGTTCTTCTACAAATATGCCTGTTTTAGTGTTCGAAGGGGCTAGGGACTTCCAATGTGTATCAGAAGTTTTACAAAGAGAAAGACAGAATGTAAAGAGAAGAGTGCAGGAAAAATGTACGCTCAGGTGCAGAAGCTTGTGAGGATTTGAAGCTGATAATAAAACCTTACACATGAGATCGGCATGTTTTTATGATCTCACTTGGAATAAGGCTGATGAATGGTAAATATTCACCAGCCTGGGAGTTTTGGGGATTGCTGCAACAACAATAGTCCCATACACTACTGCTGCTCAAGGAGCCCATCATGCTCCAATAACAATGTTATTCGTTCACCTACATCACAAGTGAGACCATCCCTAGGATTCATAGGAGGAGAATTGTTCCATTTGGAATTTCTCCTCATGAAGAAGCTCAGATGTAGAACAGAGCATGGAGAAGGGCACCTGACTGATATTTCTGGTATAAACTGTCAGTAGGTGAGATCTGAGCTATAAATTATATGCTTAGTAGGGTAACTCCCAAAGTCCCACCTTGGATTTGAATCAGACAAGCTTTTGCATCAATTTCTGTTGGCATGCATAAGTCAGGCTTAGTCACAACAGACACAAATAATTCTCTTGAGATCCTCATGGAGAGAGAATCATCCTACTGTTTTGTGCAACACCTTCCATGGCAGCACATTATAAGCCTCAGTCCTGAGCTCACTGAAGGGTGGGGAGGGCAGCAGAAACCTTGGGATGAGACCGGTCTGCAAGATCTGAGGGGTGGTATGGGGCAGAGGGTTTGGCACAGATAACCTCAGGAGTGGGGCCACCAGAGCTCACAGGGAATGCACAGTGGTGTGTGTCGACCCCACTCTGTCTTCCAGCAGTATGCACTTACACATCTAGAGGTGCTGCTTCCTTAGCTCACTCTCTGTGCAGAAGGGTAACTTGGCCCAAGCAGGTATGTCAGAACTTGGTGCTCAGATTGCCAAGCTCCCCAGCGCACAATGCCTGCTGCAGTCTTTGTTTTATAGAATCCAGGCTGCTATGCTAGCATGCGAACTCAAAAAAATGTGTTATTTAACCATTGTAAACACTGCCATGTACTTCATTTTTTTTACTGAGTAGAATCATAGATTCACAGAATGCCTCAAGTTGGAATAGACCCATAAGGATCATCAAGTCCAACTCCTTACTCTACACAGGACCACTCAAAAATTAGACTGTCTGAAAGCATTGTCCAGACATTTCTTGCACTCCAGCAAGTAGGATATTTGTTCCATGAAAAGCAGTTTATAATCAAAATATGCTAAAAAATGTGAGAATTTTAGTGCTCACGGAAAAAAAATACCTTTCATTCCTAGAGAATGAAGTCTTTTGCCTCCAGAATTACAGCAGGGACATGAGAAGTAATGATAGCACAGATTTGTCTCTACCACCCTACCCACATGGTTAGCCTTGACTACAAGCTAGCCTTTCTGGGGTTGTAACTAGGTCAAGTCTAGGAAGAGTCAGGTTAAGTTCCTCCTTTTTCAGCACATCTCTGACCACATTGTTGCAGCAGTCTCTATTTTCCCGGGAATAGGACTAAGGTGAGAAAATAAATCTCACAGAGCCAACTATCAAATGTCACTACGTTTTGATCACTCCTATGCTGGACACAGTGTGTTTGATCACTGTTGGGCATGTGAAAGAAGTGCTAAGCTTGCCTGCAGGCCATTTACTATATGGATAGAATTATTTGCATCAGTGCTTAGATAGAAATTTAAAAACAAATTGCCAGGATTTTACAACAACATATACAAGAATCTTTTAAATAGATACACAGTGGTCAGATTTTATGCATTAGATTCTTAAAAAAAACAAAACCAACACACACAGACAGATATGTCAAGAGGGGAGGTTGATCCAGGTGAAGTTTGTCATGAAATAAATGCAGACAAACCAACAGCTGAGGAACACTGATAACAAAATCTGCACAACTATGAACCGTAAATCTCTAGGTTGGGTCTGCTTCAGTCCAGGACGGCAAATTACAAACACAGGGCTGTGAACAAAGGCCCCTGCCTGCATCTGTCATTTTTAAAGATAGCGCCCATGTGTGTTGGGTAGGGGAACAGAACTGACAGAGTGCACATCTGTTTTACTGGGGCCACCTGTACCACCGTCCTGGCAGGAGTCCTCCTGTCTTTGATTCGCTCCCATTATCTCTGCCGCAGCATCTTTGTGCAAAGGCAGAAACAACGAACGTAGGCAAAACCACTGCTGGCAGTCCTCAGAAGATCTTGCACTCGTTAATGGAGAAGAGTTTCCGCCTGTTCTGCCGCTTGGCTTGATTGACTGCTGTCCGCACAGCATACTCAAACACCTGCTGCACACCGCGGTTGCTGAGGGCTGAGCACTCCAAGTAGCCTTTGGCTCGCACATCCTGGGCGAGCCGCTTGCCGTCCATCGAGCTGATGCAGGAGGAGCGGTAGGGCCCCGATTCACGCTGGTCGGTCTGCGTGGCCACTACCAGCACAGGGACGCGGGGCAGATGGTTGCGGATCTCGCCAATCCATTTGCTCCTCAGATTCAGAAAGGAGTTGTGGTTTGCCACAGAGTAGCACATTAACACCACATCTGCCTGTTGGTAGGACAGGGGGCGAATGCCTTTGAAGGCATCGCTTCCAGATGTGTCCCAAAGGCCTAGGCTAATCTGTACGCCATCCATGAACACATCCACTCCAGTGTTCTCATACACAGTGGGTCTGTAGTTGTCTGGAAAAGTGTCAGAGATGAAACGTACCAAGAGAGATGTTTTTCCCACTGCAGAGTCTCCCACCAGCACGCACTTGATAGAATCCAACATTTTGTTTAAGACCGGGGCCAAGAACACCGTCCCGGTGCGGCAGAAGCAGGATGCAGAGAGGTCTCAGGGGCTGTCTAAATAACTTCCATTTGGGGAGAAGCTGTTCCAAATGTCTTTACTTCTGAAGACTTGATTCTGCCACTTGAGTCTAAAATCCCCTTCTCTCCCACGCGGCTCTGCAGTGCTGTTGGATTTAATTCTTCAGTGAGTCAAATGATGTTTCTGAAAGAAGAAAAATAAAATGTCACATTTATAGCCTACAGAGAACAGTTTGTTCTTCATCAAGACAAACTTTTCTGGTCAAATTTTTGGACAGCCATGGGGAGTGCCCCTCACAGATGATGCTGAACCTTGCCATTCCCTCCCAGCTGGCAGTGTGTGCAACAGCCATTCACATAAATAACTTTCTTGCTGCTCCACAGGAACTAGCAATCTTATCACCTCTGCCATTCTGCACAAAGACCAGCTTTTTTTTTTTTTTTTTCCCTAATTGTCTAAAGAACTGATGAAATAATGTTTGCTTTGGTGTAACTGTTCCTGACCTGCTTTCAGTGAAACATTTCCTGCCTCTGACTTTAACAAAGGCTGCCAAAATCCTGAATCCTTCTTAGTCAGTATAGATTCCTTTGAAAACATGCTCTTGTTCTCTAGAAGTAGTCACGAGAAAAAAAATCACTTCATGAACTGATTAGACAGTTTAAGCTATTCCGTAATGAGCAGCAACGCCAAACTGCTTGTGACAACAAGGAAGTAAAGACTTCAGATGTGAATCTTGACTGGCACGAACCTGAACAGTTTTCAAAAGCAATGTAGGATTCACAGCAAAAATACAAAAAGAGTTCCAAATGTTTCTTACAAATCAATTCCAACAAGCAAGAAGCACAAGCCAAAGAAAATCACACCAGTAATGCTGGCCTAGTCAGGCAATTTTATCAGAAGGGGATGCGGCTGCCCTAACATTTATTTAGTTTGTTGTAAAACTGAACTGAGAGTACTCATGCAATTGGTACATATGGAATTGCTTTTGAGCTCCTGCCAGCATTCAGTCAAATTTTCTTATTTTGAAAGTATTCGTCTCTTTCCCACTGGCTATGTGCAAGATTCATCCTCACCTATGGCTGCATAAAAATGCTACAAAAGTCACCAACTGCAAAACCAAAAGAAAATTAGCTCTACAAACTAGTTAGAAACTGGTTAAAAATATCACTGGCTAATTTCCTGCATATGTTACAAATATAATGTATTTCTGACTCCTTCACATATGAAAAGAGAAGCCTCACCATGAGGTTACTCTTGCTCAGAAATGAACGATAGCCACAAAAAATACATACTGGATATTACAGTAACACTTTCACTACACTAACTCCACCACCACCCCACATTTCTAGGACACTTAAAGCTTTGGCTTATCTCACAGAGGAAAAAAAAACAAACAACAAAGGAAAAGAAAAGCAGTAGGTGAGCCTAGAGGGAACATTTGTACAAGCATTGCCAACTGCTGCTGGCAACTCCCCTCCTTCCATTTTGCAACAAGGCATCCTCCTACCTCCTCACCTACCTCCTCTCATGCTGCCAGCATGCCTGCATTTCTCTCACCCAACACATCAGCTGAAGGAAGATGTGCCAGAGCTCAGATGGGGCGTGTTGCTTTATAGCAGTGGCTATGGGCTACGGGGCAGGTTTGTGCTTCCCCGAGTGACGGGTGTTTGCAGGAGCCACTGCGACAGACGTCACTTCCTGGTCGGTGTGCTCACCATCGCGGCCACTTCTAGGAAGTGAGATGGAGGCCGAGACACCGGCACTGCTGTCTGCTGGGAACTGAATGGGCTGCTCTGCCAGACCGAGCGCTGGTGGCAGCAGCTGGATGCTCAGCTTTAAGGCTTCGACGGGGATAACTTTACTGTTACTCCTGTGTTCCTCAAACAAGCACACAAGGGAATGAAACAAGATATTTGCAAAAGGTAACTATGAACATTCAAAAAGCCGGCCCAGGATACGTGGTATAATTACTTAAGTGCATCACTGTCTTTCCTTCAGGGTATTCTACTTCAATATTGTGTCAGCAGTACAGTTTTAAGACACCACTGTTCATCACAAGCCAGTAGATCATAATTCAGACAAAAGAGCTCCCAGGAGAAATACAGCACGTACCAGGTCTTTTCCTCAGAACAAACATTTCCCTGATGTAAGAACTCTTAAACACCTTTAGTTTCACTACTTTGTGTATATTTGAATGTGGGGAAAAATTAGAATGCCCAAGCACAACTTCTGCTATTCCACAAACACCAAAGAAGAGAAAGATGGAGAAAAGGACTGTTGAGGTACACAGATTAGTGATAACCAGGTCTAATTTTCTGGCAGCTTTACAAGGAAAATATACAAATGGTCAAAGCCCAGAAAAGGCTAGTCAACACACAGTAATAAAAGACAAAGTAGTCCGCTGTGACAGTGCAGAGAATTTAAAGCAAAGAGAACCATAGAATATCCCAAGTTGGAAGGGATCAGTAAGGATATAATTCACTGATCAACTGTACACAACCAGGCCCATGTTCTGGTCCCAAGGGCAAACTGGAGTCAGTCCTGATCTTGCCTTTCTTTGCAGCCAGCTGAGTTCACATGCTATCATGTATAGCAGGGACCATGTAAGCGCATATTGGAGAGGTGTGTTAAAGCTCTCGTGCAGCCTGTTGTTGACCTGGCCTCAGGAGAGGAGAAGTAGTAATGTATTAAAATGGTTACATAAGCTCATCTCAATTAATGGAAAAACCTTTAGATGAAATATCAATAGAAAACAATGTCCTTTAAAGGACAGGCCAGTACAGGTCACCTCTACCCATCAGTATACAGACGGTTGTGTAAATGTTTGCAGAAGATTTGGTTCCCTTCTCTAGTACTATGTTACAGTCTTGGTCTGACACTACATCATTTAAAATCTTGCCTTGCCTGCACAAAAGCTTGGAATCACACGTGGCTGAGTTTCAGCTGCTGAAGGATTTCTTTCCAACAATTTGTTTTCCTAATTTTACCAATTCTATCAAATCCATTTTGTATCTGGAATTCCAGATATAAACATATTTTTAAAAAAAAAAAAAAACAAACACTATTTTGGCTGTATTTTCCCCCACTTGTAAAAACAACAAAATGTATTTACATAACATGGTGAAGGTTTTTATAATATTATTAAGCATAAGAATATATATCTCATTCTGATGCGGTCATTACAAAAAGGGACTGAATCAAAGTTTATCAGCTCAATCAAACGGGGTTTTCATTTATGCCAGGACAGTTTCTGGCGTCTTCTGTAAGGTCACTGTGAGTGTGGCTCAGTGTGGTGAAACATCTGTAGGGGATGGACAGTACCTTGTGATGGGAGGAAAGGGTTGGGAAGTCCTGATTTTAAACCCTATTTTGTATATTGATTGTGCAGCTTCACGTAGATATGGATTCAGAAGAGATTAGTTCATATATAAACAAAACCATGTAGGCAAGACAACAGGCTTTTTAGACATTACCCTGATCTGGCAGTCACAAAATGCTTCAGAGATCTAAGGCAATTAACATGCTATTATTGTCCTTATCCGGTTCCTACCACAATTATACCTTACTGCAGTTCCTGTTGATATCAGGATAAGAGCAGGCTAATTTTTCAGCTTGAGCAGTGTGTACAGTAGCTCCTGAAGAGAACTGATGCTGAGAGGAAGCAAAAATATTTGTACTAATAAAAAAAAAAAAGTTGAAAACCCCTGGAGAGACTTCCAGTTTCCAAGCAATGCTTGATTGCACATTGTCTTTGCCTGCACGCATTTCTCCTTAAGTCCCACCTCCAGCAGAGATGAGGTCTGCAAAGCAGTGTCTACAGCATATTTCCACCAGTAGGTTATAATCACAGCTCATTCCAGCTGTGCTGCAGATGCATAAAAACTGTCATCATGTCTCTTATTTAGAGAACCTCAAGGACAGAAAGGAGATGTGGAGACTACTGTCAGTGACTACTGTCACTGACCAGACAGCACAGATCTTTTTTCTGAGCCTCCACCTCTACAAGTACACTGACTGGGGTCTAAGAGCACCTCCTGTGAGCAGAAGGAGAAAGAGGAGGAAGAAGAAAGTGAAGAAGGAGGACTTGCAGAAAATCAAGATAGGGTAGAGAAGCCACTGCCTGGTTAGGGGCAACACCCAGAAGGTGCAGCAGGGAGACAGATGCCTCCCTGACACTGTGGATCCAGTCTGCATGACCCACTAGATCACCAGGTCACCAATGTCATGCCATCCTGTTTTCAGCTCCATGAGCAAATCATACCTGCTCTGTTCAGACACTGCTGCCACAGCATGGGGCTCCTGAAAACCTGTGCATGGACTGCAGTCTATCTGGAGATTGCCTCTGGTCTGCAAGCAAATGGCCCCTTGCTGCCAAGTCTTCTGTCTCATAATCATTAATCTGCTGCTCTAACATTTGCATTAGCTGCCTCCTGTTTTTTAATCCTATTTTAAGATTTTGATATATCACACCAAGTAGCCCTGGTCTTGCTGGTCTAGGAAACTGCCTCCCTTTCTTTTCAGACAGTGTCACCGTTGCAGACCGTCCTGCTATTCGGTGGTGGTAGTGCTGCCACTAATGGGAATGGGCAAACAGGCTACACCTTTGCAAGGTGCTGCATCTTTTCCCCAAAATAATCCACCAAAAAAAAAAATCTGAATTCGCTTTCCAAGCAAGCTATCACACGCTCCATCGTTATTTCCCAGCCCAAGAGCAAGATGGCAGATTACTGGCCAGCTGGTGCTTCAGCCCTCTGGTGCATTTATGACAATCTCTCAACGTCTTTTGCTACTTTAAAGAATTGTGAGGACACCTGGAGGAGAGCTTTTATATAGATATTTTAGCCCTAAATACAATGATACCTGCAATGGCTTCCTAAAGTTGGAAGTGCAAGCAACACGCAATGAATCCACATTATTAAAGTCAAGATGTCTTGCATTCTCAAAAAAAAATTTTTTTCCAGCATTAAATAAAATTGCAGTCATAACAACTTAGAAATTTTTCAATCATTACCTTATTCACAAAACTGAAAATCTGTTCCTGTTTTACAATTTGAGCACTTCATTTTGAAAAAAATGCAAAACTGAAATTAAAAAAACCAGCAGTTTATTAAATTTGTAGAAAACGGATGGAGGCTTCTCTAGGAACTTTTAAGAAAATTACTGTTGGATGAATACAACGCCTGAAAATTTAAACCTCAGCTGCTTTATTTGGCATTTTTAACAATTGAAGGAAATAATTTATGATCAGATTTCAGTCATCTTGCTAACTTTATTATTAGTAAGTGAGCACAAGTAGTCAGATTTAAAATAAAAACCCTCATTTTGAGACTGGGAAGTCTTGCTATAAAACAATTACAAATACAGATCAGTGTTATTTGGAGTGAGACAAGAGTCCCAATAAAGGAATGGAAGCTTTCCTCATAAGAGAATGTACATAGGTCACTCACTCTGAAATCATTGCCTTCTTCTTCTTTCCATGGAACCATGGAAAATGCAACAGATACAAAGAGTACAATAATACTATTAGACTGAGCAAATTCTCGGCTACAAGACACTATTTCTTAACATAGTCACCACCATTAGTCATGCATTTTCACCAGCGATGAACAAGAACCGATATTCCATGCTATAAAAATCGGTAACAGCGTAGATGACCTACTGCTGCTAATGCTGAAACACACCAGCCACTGCCTCACTGTGTCACGTCCACTGTTTGGTCCCCACAAGTGTTCAGCATGCATCAGTGAATGTCAGTGGGTACCATTTTTTCTGCACGAAGGGAATTCAGTGACACACCTTTGCTTCATATGCAATTCCATGTCGGACACCATTTTGTCAGAGTGCCCCTCTGCTGCCATCTGTAGCAGAACATTGGTGGGAAGATCCAACCTCTACTGCCGTACCACCAACACCCACCTCTGTCATCGTGGGCCAAAATAATAAAATAGGAAGCACTGCCTTCGGGGCAGCCCTCATATACGTTTACACACATGCTTACACAGGTGTCTGATAGTACAATTATTTACATATATAAGTACTGGATAATGACAAACCTGAAGATCTATTCAATTTTTTTTATAGACACTAAGAAATTCTTTTAGTTAACCAATTAAATAACAGAAATATTTATCTTCAAGAACACTTCATATGCAATTAATCACACTTTGGTTCAGCTACTTATAAATTAAGCATGAACACAAATAATTAGAACCACTCTAAAAATTAGCAAAAAGACTTGTGTATTGATTCGAGAACTTAAATTCAATAGAAGTCAATTCTGCAGCAGTAAGTACCTGCTTCAGAATTCAAGCCATGAGTCTAAAGCCATTCTTTGTCCATGTTTATGGGGCAGAGTAAACTACAGACTTACGGTATTAGAAGCCCTGGAGGACATTTTAAAAATGGACACATTTTCAGGATAAATTTTGCATCCTCTCCAAATACAACATGTGTAAGCCTGATGCAGAGGGTAAGGCCCTTCACAAAGGACTGGCCCATTTTCTGCTCTCAGCCTGGTCCAGCAGCCTCCAAAGCCAGCAGCACATTGTGCCCAAAGTATTGCATGTACCCCTACACTTACCAAGCATTTCCCATTTCAAGATACAGGGTATGTCACTTTCTTTTCCCCACTCTTCTCTGCAACAACATTTCTTTCCCGCTCTTAAACACTGAAGAAAACCTTGAGTGTCAGCATAAACACAGCCTTAAATAGAACTAAATCACGCTACTGTGCAAATGTCACGCACGTACATGCTCAAGCACTGACATGCTCCAACCATCTGCCTGCCTACATCCCCTTGTAGGCTCTGCCTCTGTACACATACACACATTTAGCTGTATGTACCTTCACCACTGACTACACCGCAGAACTACTTTTGTGTCCAGATGGGGATACAGACACGCTTGCAGACGAGCACGGACGAAGCGCTATGCACTGACTACTGCATTATCAGACATCCCAAATGGCCCAATATCTGAATGGCTCCAGCCCTAAGGCAGAGCTCCACACAGCCCTAACTAGCTGCATCGCAGCCAAACCAAAGGTCTGGCGCTACAGGTGGTGCAGTATTTGATATTTGACTTCAATGAGAATACTCCGTGTGGAGAGTTATTCACAGGTGGAAAGGTTTGCAGCTTTGGGCCCCAAACCACTTCAAATTTTTCATGTCACATCCTCTTTTTAACACAGTTCACCTCTCTTGAAGTTTGAGGCAAATCAAAAGAACGCTCACAACATATTTTTGTAGACATTTTTATAGGTTTAATTCTTAAATTAAAAAAAGAAATTTTTTTTTTAGTTTAAATGAGAAGCACTCTTTTATTGCCAATCTCCAACAAAGATGTGCTCTCTTTCCAGCAAGCCTACCCCTCTCCCTGTTTCTACCTGCATCATTTGACCCCCTGTAGGCACATGCATAACGTACACCATCATTAGAATGGTTAAAGAATCCATTTTTCTCTCACTCACACACAATTAACATCCTTTACTTTCATAGGAGAGTAATTTCTTGTAGAACAAAGCACTATCTGCTACCCGAATGCATGAAACATATGTGCACATATATGGAAAATAAATCAAAATAAATCAGTATATTTTTAAAAGCATAAATATTGCAATAATTAATCTATGCATATACATACAAAAGTTTGACATCCACAAATATATGTATATATAGATATGTATGTAGATGTACACTGAAACTCATTCATTTGCAGATGACTGCTATTGATTGCTTTATGAAACATATTAAGATATTTCATCCTCATTTTAAAATCTACGTGCAGCTTTTGCATCAAACAATGGATACGTTACTGAAATTACTTTTTTTATTTTTTGATTGAAATGGAATGGTCACGGTCTTCACATTACTTTATTTCTATGTATAGGTGTGCACATGTGTTTGTATCCACACAAGCAGCAATGATCACTCAGCTAGATCTGGAATTGCAATAGCATAGGTATATGATTGATTATATAAGGAAATAAACACACATTCACACACGTTAAACAATTACT